AAAAAAAAAAAAAAAAAGGCAGATATCCAGGGGAACATACCCCGATCTCTGCTGGTGCCAGAAAGTTTAGAGAGAGAACACAAGAGCCTTAGGCACAGAATCAACAGGGACACATGGGCCTGAGACTTGGCCCTCTTCCGACAGAGCAATCTGGCATTTGGCCCTGTTCTCATGGCCCACACAGGTGCATGGACTTGCGTATGCACACACACACACACACATGCACACCCACACGCACATGCACACACACACGCACACGCACACACAACACACCCACATATGATTGCACTGGCTCCAGCCACAGGCATTCCCCAGTATGCAGACTTTGTTCCAATGACAGAAACAGCCTCTTTGCAGAATTCCTACAAAGCTTACACCAGGTCTCTGGCATTGCTGGGAAGCACAGAAGGGGAAAAATGACTAGATGCTGTAAATGTACTTTTGTCACCAAGTGGACTGAACCTGCTCTTGAATCCCAGAGGCTAAAGAAAAAGAAGCCAGTAATCCCAGCACTTTGAGAGGCTGAGGCGGGTGGATCACCTGAAGGCAGGAGTGTGGGACCAGCCTGGCCAACATGGTGAAACCCCGTCTCTACTAAAAATACAAAATATTCGATGGGTATCATGGCGGGCACCTGCAGTCCCCGCCAGGACCTTCCCCACGCACCCAGACAGCTTTCTATTCTCTGGGTTTCTTTGCCTATCTGTCTTGTCCTCCTACCTTTCACTGTCCTGTCTAAATCCTCCTTCTTCCAGGAAGCCTTTCCTGATCCTGAGTAGGGCTGTCAGATATAGCAGGTAAGAAATACAGGCCACCAGCCGGGCGCAGCGGCTCACGCCTGTAATCCCAGCACTTTGGGAGGCTGAGGCAGGTGGATCACCTGAGGTCAGAAGTTGGAGACCGACCTGGCCAACATGGCAAAACCCCCATCTCTACTAAAAATACAAAAATTAGCTGGGCATGATGGTGGATGCCTGTAATCCCAGCTACTCAGGAGGCCGAGGCAGGAGAACTGCTTGAACCCCAGAGGGAGAGGTTGCAGTGAGCTGAGATCGCACTGCTTCACTCCAGCCTGGGTGGCAAGAGCGAGACTCCGCCTCAGAAAAAAAAAAAAAAAAAGAGAACTGAAGCTGGCGTGTG